AGCGGCAAGAAGGGGACCAGAATGACATTATAGGGTTGAAGTTGAAATAATATCTGATTAAATAAGAAATATGGACACTGCTTCCCAATGTCCAAAAAGTACAATCATGGCATATGGCACAACAAAGTCATCGATGTGGAAATTCTGACAAGATCCGTGGTGGATGTATCTCCGGCGGGGAAGGAGCGCTATCTCTGGGTGTAGCTGGAGAGCTGGCGGAGGAGGCGCAGACAGAAGCCCACAGAGCAGGAGGAGATCAGCCACCGTATACTGTGATAAACCTGCCCCAGGTCGATGTAGAGTGGAGAGGACAGTCCAAAGGAGGATGTGTAAAAACATTAAAGATAACTTAAAAACAGGTAGCTGAGAACAGCGGCTGCAAAACGCACCACTCAGCCATGCATGCTTGAGTGGATATGACAAACGATAGTCTAATCAGTGCTTACAGACACAAGAAATGATAGACGTTGAGCTTTATCACACTGCTAAGCAGAATCTTCACAGGAAATCATGTGATTGGCAGGAAAGCTAGGATTTTTATGAATGATTACAGAGGCTGACTGTAAGGAGATGTCTGCTCATGCGCTCTGTGTTATCTGAGAACTGAACCTGAACTGAACCGCGCCGAGCCCTACTGATGAACTAGTACCATGTTAGCGCGGTTAAGATGTGTCTGGCACGGTCTGGTTCAGTTTGATTTACACTCAACAGTTATCTCGGTTACTGCGCTTAGACCGACCTTGAAAACCTGATACCGACCAGGTTAGCTCTGGGGAGGAATCTCTCTTTGTGAAACGGAAAACTCAGAGTCTGGTCTTAACGAAAGGGGACATTCGTCATTAATGGGCTCTTAGCACAACTCAATTACTTCCTGAATTTAAGGCAGATTCTTTGTTTCCTCTTTCTCTAATGGCCAGACATACCTGCATTAATCAGTTCATCCAGGAAAGAAAGAGATGAAACAAAGGAGATGCCTTCAGTTCAGGAGGCAGTGGAGCTGTGCTTAGAGCCCATTGAAAGGAAAAAGAAGAAAAGGGAAAACATTTGACAGGAGGAATGAGATTGGATGGATCAGCAAGATCCAAAGTATCCCTTTAANTAAGATGCTACATTCTGTCCTGTGATTCAATCAGGAGGTTTATTTTAGACTTGCCTTCAGCCAGAAGGCATTTACAGGGTCATAAACTTTTATGAAATATGAAATATGAACTCACAATATTTTGAATCTAACAGTCAACAAACACAGTACCTGCTTAAAGAAAGCCCGTCCCGTTTTTAACTTTGACTAAAACTCTGAGCCAGAACCCTATCACTACTTACCTTTTTTTGCTGAGCTCTGAGCCTTCATCATCATCATCATCATCATCTTGTGGGTGTAACATTTTCCTCCACTCTCTGAGATGATTTCTTGAATTTCATTTACGATTTCACTGACTGCAGACTGACTCTCTTGATGGTTGCAGACTTTAACACACCTGATGAATTTCAGTTTGTCCTCTTTATTAATGTCTTCTATTGTGGAAATCCCCTCATTGCCTAGAGCCTCTCCCTTGAGCACAAGAATCATGCTCTTTGTTACTTTCTCACCAAATACAGCCTTTATATTCTCCACCATTGTTTTAATTTCTTCTTTGGATTGACCGTTCTTAATGACCAACAGGAACACATGGTGAGCGGTTTTGGAGATGCACCTCGTGATCTTCTTGATCTCCATTTCCTTGCTATCATAGTCTGGTTGACCCAGTCGGTTGAAATGATCCATATCAAGACCTTCATAGCTCTCAGGATAAACCTCTTCAATAGGCAGACAGGAAAGGTTGAAGCTGGTCTCATTGGACTTAAGGTGGTTCTGGATCAGGTTAATGACTTCATTCCTTTCTGCACCGTCGCTCCCAATCACCACGATCTTCAGCTCTGTAGGAAAACATCAGAATTCATGAAGATGTGAGCTTCTCAAAGCAGCATATTACAATCTTCTATGTATTTTTTTTTCTGAAAGCAAAACTGACTATTGTTATCTTTATTACAGTAGAGTAGAAAGGGGGGGTATGCAGTGTACGCGGTGCATAGGGACACTGCTATACTAGGGGGCGCCAAAGTGATGAGTGATGATATGCTTTCAATCTGAAAAACTCAAATGAAGAGTAAAGACAATTAGGTGAAATTTATGGATACAATTACTTTAGTCTTTGGCG